GCTAAGTTGGACCTAATGGGTCACACACAAACACCTAATTGTCTAGATGCTCTAGCATTAAAGGTATTGGGCCTAATAATAGTTATTAGCCCAAGAAGTTGTTTGGAACTCCACCTAAAGGGGTGGAGGGCGCATGGTTCATTGTAATGGGCTTGGATAGTCCAAGACATTACTAATTAATTTAATTAGTTAAATTAATTATCAAACATTTAAATTTTGAATTTTGGAATTCGAAATTTGAATTTTGAAATTTTGAATTTTGAATTTTGAATTTCGAAATTCGAATTTTGAATTTGAAATTTGAAATTTTGATTTTGAATTCGAATTTTGAATTTTGAATTTTGAAATTTGAAATTTTGAATTTTGAATTTGAATGTTTGAACATTTGAATTTGAATATTTGAATGTTTGAATTCAAATATTTGAATTTGAATTTGAATTGCCTATGAAAGGTTGTTTCATAACAATAGGATAAGATGAGATCTTGTTGGAACAAATCACTAGTATTATGTGAGAATCTTTTGGACAAGATCCAAGGCCATATATGGCGCTGATTTGGGTTGTTGGTGAGCAAGATTTGCTCATCAAAATCAGCTCCAGAAGATTCAGTCAGTTGGGAGAAAATCTGAGTGAGTTGATTCAAATTTGAATGCAACTACTCAGATGTATCTGGTTACCTTTTTGGGCTATATGGGGCGCACCGTATAGCTGATCTTATGAAGATTTCTGATCAGGATTTTGAATAGGTTTTGAACCAATTCTCAAGAGAATATTCTAGGAGCCTGTTAGCAATTTTTGAAATAAAACAGCTCCACTTCTCTCTCTCCTATCTAGCGCCTAATGATCAGATTTTTAGGAGAAAAATATGATTGGTATTTTATTTTAATTACTCTCCTCTTATGTGCCTAAGTGTTCAGTTGTTCCTCCAAGGGTTTTTCTGAAAACCTAGCCTATTCTCTCCTCTCTCCTGCGCCACTTGTGAAGCTTTCACATTGAGAGTTTCACTTTTTCAAACACTTTCACCTAGCCTCCATCTTCACACATAGAGCGCCTAGCAAGCCTCTTTGGGGTGATCATACGGTGGCTTCACAAGAAGGAGTTCTTGCACCTAGACGAGTGGGTGGTGTGGATCAACGTTAGAGGGTCTGAACCCTTCAGACCGGCCTTGATCATCTGGTGATTTCACGAACAAGGTAACATCATGCTTTCCTAAAGCATGATCTTGATGTGCATGTATATTCCGCAAAGAAAAATTTTGTTTTTCCCTCTTGCATGCATCGGCCTTCAAGGCCATTTCGAACTATCAAAGGGATTACCTGTTAGAAGCTCCCAAACTAGGTAGCTTCAAGAGTTAGTCCTCTACAAACGTGTCCGAGGTAGGCCACCTACAATGATCGCGCACACATGATCATGAATTAACTTGTCCAACAAGCACAACAAATCACATATTGCAATCCCTCCATCACACTATAGGTTCGGTCACAAGGCCCAAATATTACCCAATGTGTTTCCATCACACCCAATCAACTCCATGGTTACACAACCTTTCTCAACACCAATACAATTCTCGTTTACCTTACATTATCACTTAACATCACGTTCCCCTAATTGTTCCCTCTAGGCCGAAAATACATATCAAGGGGGACAAGGTTTTTCACTCAATTCATATGCATTACATACTCATTTTACCTTATTATTAATGATTCAAGACATCCATAACACATTTACACCGTTCCTCAACACCTTATTTTTCAAGAACTCCTAGTTCATCCATCCAAATTTGTCTAAGTTACCAAACTTTATCATAATAATTTTTATTGGTTCAATCATCATCATTCACCATTGTGAGCATTAAATTCCAAAGGGACGCTACCATTACATGCCTCCAACTACTTCAATCAACTCACACATATTCAAGATTTATACCCATTTTCAATCCATCATCAAATCAAGTCAAGATTTGGAGTACTTACCACAAATGATCTCCAAGGACTCCTAGGATGTGTTTTCAAGCATCAAAGCAAGTCAAGCCGCCTCCAATGGCCCACCAAAAATTCAAAACCGTCACTTTATTTGGGGAGGATATCTTCACACAGTGCTCCCTACTTGAAAATAAGGGTAGAAATGTGTTCCTCTCAAAATTTTACACAAGTTTGGCTTTGGAATCGTTTGATTTCGTTGAGTGTAGCTTGAGTTATGAATTTCTCAAGTTTTAACTCTTTTCTTCAATGGTGGAAGGGGGCTGCGGGTTTTGAAGGAGAAAGTCAAGAAGATGATGCACTCTCACTATTTATCATGTGCCCTAATATTCCACTTAAGTGAGGTAGGCCCCACAAGTGCCACCTCATTTAAAATCACTCAAACACACCACTAATCTTCAATTAACTCTTAAATTATCCAATTAATTTTTGTTCTAATCATCAAAGCATCATTTTAACATTCACCAAAGTGATTTAATAATTACCCTCAACATTATTTTTAGATTTCTGATAACTTTTTCCAAACTACATTTTTCTTTCAAAAATAACTATATGACGTTCCTAACCTAGGAACGTCGTTCCCAACCTAGGAACGTCGTTCCCACCATGAGAACTTTGTTCCCCCTTTTGGAATAACCTACTGAATATTGTTCCTACCTTGGGAATGTCGTTCTCCCTTTGGTAACAACTTACTGAATATTGTTCCCACCATGGAAACGTCCTGCTGAATGCCGTTCCCACTCCGGGAACGACCATTATTCAAAAAAAAATTTAAAAAGTTTCTAACCACTCCAAATTTCGTTGTGAATCCATTTCCATCATTAGTTTCATCAAATGAAATGTAATTTTATCATCTCACAGACTAAGATTGGGTATTGGTCAAATTATCATTTTACCCTTCGTGTGTATTTTTACCTGGATTTCAAGATTTTTACTAAATAAACCCTCTAACCAACATTTTAACTATAATTAAGTGTTTTAAAACTACGAGGTGTTATAAAAACGCTCCAGAAGCAACCAGAAACCCTTCGAAAAGGACGCTTTGGCGCCCAACAGCACGCCAAAATGCCCAGAGGCAGACAGGAATGCATTAAGAGAACGTTTTAGCGCACAAATAGAACACTAAAACGTCCATGCACGGCCAAATCTAAATCCAAAAGAGATTTTATATCTTTATCAAGATGTGCATCAGATTTTTACAAAAATATAAAGTGGAAACAAATCAATCTTGATTGAGAATAGAAATAAATCCATGGGAAGATATGATGGAAGATCACATCAAAGATTCAAAGCTCAAATCTGTCAACCAATCTTCAAGATCTTAAATGCAAAGAGGAAACAATTGTAGAATCAATTATAAATCTGATACAGATTCGTTGGGAGATTGAATGAAGGATACAACTCCAATTCAAGACCAAAACACCAATTCACAAGTTCAGAGCATTACACCAAGACTGAAGGAGGAATCTTGTTGCGGAGCGTTGGAACACTGAGGAACTAAGTCAACATCACACCAATGGAGGCTTGGGGTTCTCTTTTCTTTATTATTGTTTTTCAATTCAGTATGCTAGGCTAGTCTTTTATGTAGTTAGGGGTAGTTGGAACACAATTGAATATTTATGTTCATGAATTAAATTGTCTCTGAATTCTGTTCTTCTTATAATTGAATAAATTATCTGTCTTTATTGCTTTCTATGAGTTTGTTCCTTATAGAATGATTTTGGGGAATTCTATGACAATAAGGATGTTGGTGCATGAACCCTGATTTGATAATTTATCATAATCCTTGTGATCAAGGGATAGACATAGGGTAATTATGCAATCTTGGTATTCTTGATCTTAATGCATGTTTTCTTGGGGAATAATCGGGGAACTAGAGTTCTTTCAAGATTGCATAGATTTAGGGTAACAAATAATTGAGCCTTAATTAACTTAGAAAGAATTTATTGGCAATATATTAAGAAACAGATTCTTGACTGTTTAATTCATAACATATTGAGGATATTGGGGGAAGTCGAAACCCTAACTACGCTTGTTTTTAAATACTTAATAAATCATCATCTTTTCAATTATTCTTTTAATTCTGAATTTTCTTGATTAAATGTTATTACTTGTTTTTAATTTTTAAGTTCTTCCATTACAATTCTCTCAAATCCAATTCTTGATTGTCCAACTAAAACGCGATTAGCGAACTAGTGCTTGAAATTATGATCCTCGTGGGAATGATCTCGTACTCCGGTACACTTTATTACTTTACGACCGGTGCACTTGCCGAGTCGCAACAAGTTTTTGGCATCGCTGTCGGGGATCGAATTCTTCAACATTAGAAGTAACAAATTAACTTTTAGATTGGACGTTTTAATTTTCTGCACTTTATACATTCTTCAAAAATATTTTTCTGCATTTTTTGTTTATTTTTTATTTTTCTGTTTTCCTGTTTTTGTTTTTTTTTTTCTATTTTTCTGCTCATCTTTTTGATCTTAAGTTTTTGCGAGATACTCTTAACCCGCGAATCTTGCAGTTTGATCCTGAAATAGAAAAGATAGAAAGGAAACTTAGAAAGGACGAAAAAGCAAAGAAGGCGAAGGAAGCAAAAGAAGAATCAAGTTCGACGGAACCTAAGGAGGAACCAATGGCAGAAAACAATCAACTCGCTCCAAGGACCTTGGGAGATTATATTACTCCAGCCCGAGTTCCACAGACAACGAGCATTATTAGACCGACCATAGAAGCTAACAACTTCGAGCTAAAGCTGGCACTGGTGCAACTGATTCAAAAAGACCAGTTCGCTGGAGGAAGCGCAGAGAACCCCTATAGTCATCTTGATGATTTCTTACTTTACTGTGACACATTAAAAGTGAATGGAGTTTCTCGTGACGCTATCTTGCTCAGATTATTCCCATGCTCACTGAAGGATGATGCAAGAGCTTGGCTGCAGTCTTAACCTGAAGGAAGCATAACCAAATGGGATGACTTAGCAAGAAAATTCTTGGCCAGATTTTTCTCAGCTACAAAGATGGCAAGACTCTAAGGGGAAATCACCTCCTTTGAACAAAAAGAAAGCGAATCTCTGTACGAGGCTTGGGAACGATTCAAAGGACTTCTAAGGAAGTGTCCACAACATGGCTTTGAAGCTTGGGAGAAAGGACGGATTTTCTTCCAAGGAATGACGCCTAACATAATAACACTGGTAAATGCTGCTGTACGGGGCTCCTTGAAAACAAAAACTCCGGAGGACGCACTAGAATTGTTGGAATCCTTAGCTTCTCAAGAATTTGACAATGCCCCAGTTGCACAAAAGAGAGCAGGAATTATGAAGCTTGACGGCTATGATGCAATCTTAGCCCAAAATGAACAAATATTGCAAATGCACAAGAAACAACAAGAACAATTAGATGCTCTTACTAAACTGTTTAATCATTCTCAAGTTTCTTCTGTTAGTAATTCTCAAATTAAATGTGGTATTTGTGCAGAGGCTCATGCGACGGAAGATTGTGACTACATGAGAACAACTGAAAAGCCATCAATATAGGCCAATGGAATCTGGTACGATCAGAAGAATCAGAATCAACATCCAGGGTTGAGTTACAAATCCAACCATCAGCTCAATCCTCCCCTTCCAGTGCAACCACATACCCCACAACAAAGTAACACTTCAGAGTGGGAGAAAGCTTTTGCACAGCTGTGCAAGACCATTTACGATTATATTCAAGGTGCAAATGCTTTCAGAGAGGACACATCTGCTTTCATGCAAGAGACTATATCAGCACACCGGAATCAAGAAGCTTCCATAAGAAATATGGAAATTCAGATTGGCCAGTTGTCAAAGCAATTTTCAGAGAGAGCTTAGGGTACTTTTCCAAGCAACACAGTTGTCAATCCAAGGGAGCATTGCAATGCTATCACCACTAGGAGTGGGACAGTGATTCAGCCTATAGAGGAGCAACCCGAAGAAAAGAAGAAGGATGGAGAAGCATCACTTGAAGAAGCGAAGGAAGAAAAGGAAAAGGATACAATTGAAGTTGACAAAAGCAATCCTGAAAAAGTCGAAAAGAAACTATTCAAGTGGGAGAAGAAGAAAGCTCTAGAAAAACAGAACAAGCCATTGGATCTCTCCCCATATGCTTGAATCCCTTATCCTCAGAGATTAAAGAAAGATATTCGGAAGCAGCAGTATTCAAAGTTTCTAGACATATTCAGGAGGTTGCAGATCAACATTCCTTTTGCTGAAGCTTTAGAGAACATGCCCAACTATGCAAGGTTCATGAAGGATCTATTATCAAGGAAGCGTAAGTTGCAGGAATGTGAGACGGTGAATCTGACGGAGGAATGTAATGCGATCATCAAAAAGAAGTTACCCACCAAAGTCAAGGATCCAAGGAGCTTTATCATTCCATGCACTATAGGCAAAGTGGAAGTGGACAATGTTTTATGAGATCTTGGAGCTAGCATCAATGTCATGCCACTCTCCATGTTGAAGAAGCTGGGAATTACTGAAGTGAAGCCCACAAAGACGATAGTGCAACTGGCTGACCGCTCTTCAAAGCAAGCTTATGGAATCATTGAAGACATATTGGTCAAGGTAGACAAATTCATCATTCCTGTTGATTTTGTCATCCTTGACATTGAAGAATATGCCACAATTCCTATGATTTTTGGAAGACCCTTCTTGGCAACTTCAGGAGCACTGATTGATGTACTTAAAGGTGAGTTGATCTTATGGGTAGACGGAGAGCAAGCAATTTTCAAATTCTTTGACAAAGAAGTCCCCTCATCCGCAGCTCAACCGGAAGATCAAGTCTACTATATTGGTGAAAAGAAAGGTGAAGAAGAACACAATGAGGAGTCTTCTCAAGAAAGTAAGCCAAAAGTTGAGATGGAGAAGCCCAGGAGCAAGGGAAAACATATAAATACCAAATTCAAAGTTCTTGAGGCTACTGTATCTCACTTATATGCACAAGAGCACTATGGTAGGACACAATTTTTGAATGATGGAGCTTAGACATCACCAAGCTTATGCTTTGAGCCACCATGAAAGTAAACCAGGTACGTCAGGCTCGTGACGTTAAACAAGCGCTAATGGGTAGGCAAACCCACACTTTACTGTTTTATTTTAATTTCACTGTTTTAGTTATTTTTACTTTGAATTAAATAAAGAAAAATACAAAAATATAGGAGAAGGTGTTGAGACTAATGGCTATCATTGAGTGAATTTTACAGGTGAAGAAAAGGGAACAAACAACAAGAGAGAGCAACTAGTTGTATTATTTCTCGACGCTTTTTCTTTTTAGATTTAAATCTATTGCTGAGGACAGCAACATTTAAATCTGGGAATGGGGAACGCACAGTTCATCTAAGCACAAAAAAACCCTAAGCTGGAGGAACTTCATGAGCACTCACAGAATATCCGGCTAAAACAGGGAACTATCTCAAATCCTTTCTCCTTTGCTTTAGCTTAATTCTTTTTGAATTGATTTTTTTTATTTATATATTTAGTTTGTTTTGAAACCCCAAGCCATTGTTTTGTGAAAATTCTGAAATTTTTAAAGTTTTCTCAGTGTTTTTAATTGAAAAATGGCAGGAATTTTAAATTAGTAATTGATTCAGAGCATGATGATGCACTTATACATTCTTTTATGAGCATCATTGCAATAAGTGACATGATTCATTGAATATATTGTTGATATTGAATTTGTGTGAAAAAAAGAACAGGATAATTACTGTGCATTCATAGCCGTGAGGTTTTGAGCCTATACACAAAATTTTTATTGAGTGTGCATTCTACTGTTGAGATACTCTAGAACTTGCTTTGTTTCTTGATTGAAATGGTCTGTGATATATTTTGTAGAAATGATAGAGGCATGTTCTTTCTCTAACTAGATGGCCAAATAGCTAACGTTTATTGATATTCCTTAGTTAAGCCCCCTTGAGCCTAGACTTTTTATTCATGAAAAACCCTTGAATGTGAAAAGCCACTTCCCCAAATCAATCCTCACCTTAATAGAAGAATAATTTCAGATTTGAAGTAAGGAGTGGATACAAGTTATGGTTACAAGGTTGTGATGTCTAGAAGTACAAGTAGAAAAGGGCAAAGCCCAAGGAAGAAAAGTTGGTTAGAACAAAGAAGAGCAAGCAAAAAGCTTAAAGAAAAGAAAGGAGAAGAAGTGAAAAAATCAAGAAGTTCTTGGAAAGAAAACGTCAAAAGAGAAAAAGTTCAAAAGGAAGAAGAAGAAAAATGTACAAATGTACGAAACAAATTACACTTACTCCTTCCTTCAGAATCTAAATTTAATTCTTGAACTTAGTTCCAAAAATCTTTCCTTTCCCTTAACCAGGCCACATTATAACCCTACTGAAGACCTCTTAATCTACTTAATTTATTATAAGAACTGTAGAGAGCGAGAATATAACCAAGCCTATGGTAGTGTTGATACAGTGGAACAAGAGTTAAACACCAACCTTCTAGACAATTGAGTGTGAGTGAATTGAAATCCTAGTGAGGGAGTGTATCAGGAAATTTTCCTTGTTCTTGATCTTAAGGAACCTCATTGAAAATTTTAACTGATGAACTATGAATCTTACTGCTTTGATGTATCGTCCTTTTTAAAGTCTGAATGCTTTGTGATCATGTCTCTGATTAAATCCTGCCTATGAACTCCATGCAATTGAAGATCCTGATTAATTTTCCAGTAAGTTTATTCTAGTTAATTGCTGAGGACAGCAATATTCAAATTTGGGAATGGTTGATAAACCCTTGGTTTACCATGGTTTTACGCTTAATTACACTTGAAATATATCATGAATTGCATGAAAATTAGAGTTTTATACCACAAAGTCACAATAATTGAATATCTTGCTAACATGTTATATTTCTTATTTCAAAGAATTTTTGACATCTATTATGGCTTTTGGACTCAAAGGAATACAACAAAATGAGTTCAAACCTCAAAGAAGCAAGATTTCAAGCATGAACAAGATGGAAGAAGACGTTTTGGCGTCCAAGAATAATGTTTAAACGCTCAAGATGAAGAAAACAACAATAACTCCCTGGACAAGAGCGTTTTGGCGGCCAAACAGAGCGCCAAAACGCCCAGAGGCAGACATGAATGCATTAAGAGAACGTTTTAGCGCACAAACAGCACGCTAAAACATCCATGCACAGCCAAATCTAAATCCAAAAGAGATTTTATATCTTTATCAAGATGTGCATCAGAATTTTACAAAAAATACAAAGTGGAAACAAATCAATCTTGATTGAGAATAGATATAAATCCATGGGAAGATATGATAGAAGATCACAACAAAGATTCAAAGCTCAAATCTGTCAACCAATCTTCAAGATCTTAAATGCAAAGAAGAAACAATTGTAGAATCAATTATAAATCTGATACAGATTCGTTGGGAGATTGAATGAAGGATACAACTCCAATGATTATAAATAAGGAGCTGAGGGTCAAGACCAAAACACCAATTCACAAGTCCAGAGCATTACACCAAGACTGAAGGAGGAATCCTGTTGTGGAGCGCTGGAATACTGAGGAACCAAGTCAACATCACACCAATGGAGGCTTGAGGTTCTCTTTTCTTTATTATTGTTTTTCAATTCAGTATGCTAGGCTAGTCTTTTATGTAGTTAGGGGTAGATGGAACCCAATTGAATCTTTATGTTCATAAATTAAATTGTCTCTGAATTCTGTTCTTTTTATAATTGAATAAATTATCTGTCTTTATTGCTTTCTATGAGTTTGTTCCTTATAGAATGATTTTGGGGAATTGTATGACAATAGAGATATTGGTGCATGAACCCTGATTTGATAATTTATCATAATCCTTGTGATCTAGGGATAGACATAGGGTAATTATGCAATCTTGGGATTCTTGATCTTAATGCATGTTTTCTTGGGGAAAAATCGGGGAGCTAGAGTTCTTTCAAGATCACATAGATTTAAGGTAACAAGGAATTGAGCTCTAATTAACTTAGAAAGAATTGATTGGCAATATATTAAAAGACAGATTCTTTACTGTTTAATTCATAACATATTGAGAAGATTGGGGGAAGTCGAAACTTTAACTATGCTTGTTTTTAAATTTTTCATCAAACATTATCTTTAGTCATTCTTTTTAATTCTGAAATTTATCTTAATTGCAGGCTATTACTTGTTTTTAATTTTAAGTTCTTCAAATCATAATTTTCTCAAACCCAACTTTTGATTGTCCAACTAAGACGCGATTAGCGAACTAGTGCTTGAAGATTCTGATCCTTGTGGGAACGATCTCGTACTCCGGTACACTTTATTACTTTACGACCGGTGCACTTGCCGAGTCGCATCAAGTTTTTGGCGCCGTTGCTGGGGATCGAATTCTTCAACATTAGAAGTAACTAATTACCTTTTAGATTGGACGGTTTTTTTCTGCACTTTAAACATTCTTCAAAATTATTTTCTTCATAAAACAATTCTGCATCAATTTTCTGAATATTTCAATTTTCTGCACTCTTTGTTTATTTTTATTTTTCTGTTTTCATTGTTTTTTCTGCACATCTTTTCAATCTTAGTTTATGCGAGGTACTCTTAACCCGCGAATCTTGCAGTTTGATCCTAAAATAGAAAAGACAGAAAGGAAACTTAGGAAAGACGCAAAAGCAAAGAAAGCGAAAGAAGCAAAAAAAACCTCAAGTTCATCGGAACCTAAGGAGGATCCGATGGCAGAAAACAATCAACTCGCTCCAAGGACCTTGGGAGATTATATGACTCCAGCCCGAGTTCCATAGACGGCGAGCATTGTTAGACCGACCATAAAAGCTAACAACTTCGAGCTAAAGCCAGCACTGTTGCAACTGATTCAAAAAAACCAGTTCGCTGGAGGAAGCGCAGAGAACCCTTATAGTCATCTTGATGACTTCTTACTTTAGTGTGACACATTAAAAGTGAATGGAGTTTCTCGTGATGCTATCTTTCTCATATTACTTCCATGCTCACTGAAGGATGATGCAAGAGCTTGGCTGCAGTCTCAACCTGAAGGAAGTATAACCAGTTGGGATGACTTAGCAAGGAAATTCTTGGCCAGATTTTTCTTAGCTTCAAAGATGGCAAGACTCAAAGCGGAAATCACCTCTTTTCAACAAAAAGAAAGCGAATCTCTGTACGAGGCTTGGGAACGATTCAAAGGATTACTCAGGAAGTGTCCTCAACATGGAATTGAAGCATGGGAGAAAGCAAGAATGTTTTTCCAAGGAATGACACCCAACACAAAAACACTGGTAAATGCTGCTGCAGGGGGCTCCTTGAAAACAAAAACTCCAGAGGAAGCACTAGAATTGTTGGAATCCTTAGCTTCTCAATAATTTGACAATGCCCCAGTTGCAAAAAGAAGAGCAGGAATTATGAAGCTTGACGGCTATGATGCAATCTTAGCCCAAAATAAACAAATGTTGCAAATGAACAAGAAACAACAAGAACAATTAGATGCTCTTACTAAACTATTTAATCATTCTCAAGTTTCTTCTGTTAGTAATTCTCAAATTAAATGTGACATTTGTGCAGAGGCTCATGCAACAGAAGATTGTGACTACATGAGAACAGCTGAAAAGCCATCAAGAGAGGCCGATGGAATCTGGTACGTTCAGAAGAATCAGAATCAACATCCAGGGTTTAGTTACAAATCCAACCATCAGCTCAATCCTCCCCTTCCAGTGCAACCACATACCCCACAACAAAGTAACACTTCTGAGTGGGAGAAAGCTTTTGCACAGCTGTGCAAGACCACTTCTAATTATATTCAGGGTGCAAATGCTTTCAGAGAGGACACATCTGATTTCATGCAAGAGACTATATCAGCACACCGGAATCAAGAAGCTTCCATAAGAAATCTGGAAATTCAGATTGGCCAGTTGTCAAAGCAATTTTCTGAGAGAGCTTAGGGTACTTTTCCAAGCAACACAGATGTTAATCCAAGGGAACATTGTAATGCTATCACCACTAGGAGTGGGACAATGATTCAGCCTATAGAGGAGCAGCCCGAAGAAAAGAAGAAGGATGGAGAAGCATCAGTTGAAGAAAAGGAAAAAGATACAATTGAAGTTGACAAAAACAATCCTGAAAAAGTTGAAAGGAAATTATTTAAGTGGAAGAAGAAGAAAGCTCTAGAAAAACAGAACAAGCCATTGGATCTCTCCCCATATGCTCGAACCCCTTATCCTCAGAGATTAAAGAAAGATATTCAGAAGCAGCAGTATTCAAAGTTTCTAGACATATTCAAGAGGTTGCAGATCAACATTCCTTTTGCTGAAGCTTTAGAGAACATGCCCAACTATGCAAGGTTCATGAAGGATCTAATATCAAGGAAGCGTAAGTTGCAGGAATATGAGACGGTGAATCTGACGGAGGAATGTAATGCGATCATCAAAAAGAAGTTACCCACCAAAGTCAAGGATCCAGGGAGCTTCAGCATTCCATGCACTATAGGCAAAGTGGAAGCGGACAATGTTTTATGTGATGTTGGAGCTAGCATCAATGTCATGCCACTCTCTATGTTGAAGAAGCTGGGGATTACTGAAGTGAAGCCCACAAAGATGATAGTGCAACTGGCTGACCGCTCTTCAAAGCAAGCTTATGGCATCATTGAAGACATATTGGTCAAGGTAGACAAATTCATCATTCCTGTTGATTTTTCCATCCTTGACATTAAAGAAGATGCCACAATTCCTATGATTTTTGGAAGACCCTTCTTGGCAATTTCAGGAGCACTGATTCATGTACTTAAAGGTGAGTTGATCTTACGGGTAGACGGAGAGCAAGCAATTTTTAAATTCTTTGACAAAGAAGTCCCCTCATCCGTAGCTCAACCGGAAGATCAAGTCTACTATATTGGTGAAGAAAAACACAATGAGGAGTCTTCTCAAGAAAGTAAGCCAAAAGTTGAGATGGAGAAGCCCAGGAGCAAGGGAAAACATATAAATACTAAATTCAAAGTTTATGGCAGCTTTGTGTTTCTTCAGCACTTTGAGAAGCTTCTCTTCTTCTTTGGTTGAAAGCTCAACATTGATGATGACTGGATAAGTGTTGTTGTCACCAAGGAAAGCATACTTCAAATTTAGAGGTAACTCTTTAAGCTCCACCTTCGGTGCTCCAAGAGGGATGTCATCTTTCTTTCTTTCTAGTTCTTCCACCACTGGTTCTTTATCGGCTATTTCAACTTCTTCGTTGATTTGTTCTAACTCGAGTGGGGAACTCTCCTCTTTCATAGTATCATCAATTGCTTCTTGTATTATGTCAATCATAAAACAGTCTCCTCCGTCTCTTGGATGTTTCATTGACTCGAAGACGTCAATGGTGACTGTTTCTTCGTTCATCCTAAGCATCAGTTTTCCTTGCTCCACCTCGATTATCACTCGTGCAGTGGCTAGGAATGGCCTTCCAAGCAATAGGGGAATCTCGGCGTCTTCTTCCATATTCAGAATTACAAAATCGGCAGGGAAGATAAATTTGTCAATTTTAACTAAAACATCCTCAACTACCTCATCTGGTAGTCTGATCGATCTGTCAGCTAACTAGAGAGAAACTGTAGTCGGCTTGAGCTCCTTTATTCCAAGAGCTTTGCACATGGACAGTGGCATCAGGTTTATACTTGCTCACAAATCACATAATGATTTTCCTACTTCAATATTTCCTATGGCTATAGGAATACTGAAGCTGCCTGGATCTTTCAGCTTGGGAGGAAGTTTCTTCTGGATGATTGCACTGCAGTCCTCTAGCAAGGCCACTGTTTCGCATTCCTTCAACTTGTGTTTCTTTGATAGAAGGTCCTTCATGAACTTCGCATAGTTCGACATACTTTCCAGGGCTTCTGCGAAAGGAATGTTGACTTGCAGTTTCTTGAAGATGTCCAAAATTTTGGTGTATTGCTGTTTCTGGACCTCTTGTTTCAGCCGCTGAGGGTATGGAACTTTTGCATAGGGAGACGGGTCTGCTGCTTTTGGTTGCCTATCCAAATATTTATTTTTCTCCCATTTGAATAGCTTTTTCTCTGGACTGCTCTTTTCGGCTTCTCCTTCATCTTCTTCTTTCTCCTTCTCAGCTTCAGGTTCAGCTTCTTTCTTCTTTTCAACGGGTGGCTTTTCCACAGGCTGAATCACGATCCCACTTCTAGTAACAATTGAATTACATTGTGCTTTTGGGTTCGTGTCGGTGTTACTTGGAAAGGTGCCCTGAGTTCTTTCAGTGAACTGTCTTGACAGCTGACCAATTTGAGTCTCCAAGTTCCGGATCGAAGCTTCTTGATTCCGGAATGAAGCTCTTGTTTTATCTCTGAAGGCATCTGCATTTTGAATGTAGTCGAATGTGGTCTTTGACAGCTGTGCAAAAGCCTTTTCCCATTTTGAAGTGGTGCCCTGAGGTTGCTGTTGCAATGGCATAGGAGGGTTCAACTGGTAGTTTGATTTGTAACTCAACCGAGGGTGTTGGTTAGGATTTTTCCATCCTTGATTACCATATTGATTTCTTCCTGGATTGTTCTGGTTCTTTTGATCATACTAGACTCCATTGACCTCCGCTGGTGGCTTTTCAATTTTTCGTATGTAGTCACAATCCTCAGTTGCATAAGCCTCTTCATAAATACCAAATTTAATATTAGCATTATTAACAGAAGAAACTTGAGAAAGATTAAAATTTTTATTAAGAGCATCTAATTGTTCTTGTTGTTTCTTGTGTATTTGTAGCATTTGTTCATTTTGGGCTAAGAGTGCATCATAGCATTCAAGCTTCATAATTCCTGCTCTTCTTTATGCAACTGGGGCAGGGGCATTGTCAAATTCTTGAGAAGCTAAGGATTCCAACAATTCTAGCGCTTCCTCTGGAGTTTTTGTTTTCAAGGAGCCTCCTACAGCAGCATTTACCAGTGTTCTTGTGCTGGACGTCATCCCTTAGAAAAAGATTCTTACTTTCTCCCATGCTTCAATTCCATGTTGAGGACACTTCCTGAGTGATCCCTTGAATCGTTCCCAAGCCTCGTACAAAGATTCGCTTTCCTTTTGTTCTAAAGCAGTGATCTCCGCCTTGAGCCTTGCCATCTTTGAAGCTGAAAAAAATCTAGCCAAGAATTTTCTTGCTAAGTCATCCCAACTGGTTATGCTTCCTTCAGGTTGAGACTGCAGCCAATCTCTTACTTCATCCTTCAGTGAGCATGGAAATAGCCTAAGCAAGATAGCGTCACGAGAAACTCCATTCACCTTTAATGTATCACAGTAAAGTAAGAAATCATCAAGATGACTATAGGGGTTCTCTGTGCTTCCTCCAGCGAACTGTTCTTTTTGAATCAGTTGCAGCAGTGCCGGCTTCAGCTCAAAGTTGTTAGCCTCTATGTTTGGTCTAACAATGCTCGCTGTCTGTGGAACTCGAGCTGGGGTCATGTAATCCCCCAACGTCCTTGGAGCGAGTTGATTGTTTTCTGCCATCGGTCCCTCCTTAGGTTCCGTTGAACTTGAGGTTTCTTTTGTTTCTTTCGCTTTCTTTGCTTTTGCGTCCTTCCTAAGTTTCCTTTCGGTCTTTTCTATCTCAGGATCAAACTGCAAGATTCGCGGGTTAAGAGTACCTCGCATAAACTTAAAATCGAAAAGATGAGCAGAAAAATAGAAAAAAAACAAAACAGTAAAATAGAAAAGTAATAAAAATAAACAAAGAATGCAGAAAAATAAATATGCAGAAAATTGATGCAGAATTTTAATGCAGAAAAATATTTTTGAAGAATGTTTAAAGTGCAGAAAATTAAAACGTCCAATCTAAAAGTTAATTAGTTACTTCTAATGTTGAAGAATTCGATCCCCGGCAACGGCGCCAAAAACTTGTTGCGGCTCGGCAAGTGCACCGGTCGTAAAGTAATAAAGTGTACCGGAGTACGAGATCGTTCCCACGAGGATCAGAATTTCAAGCACTAGTTCGCTAATCGCGTTTTAGTTGGACAATCAAGAATTGGATTTGAGAGAATTGTAATGGACGAACTTAAAAATTAAAAATAAGTAATAGCATTCAATCAAGAAAATTCGGAATTAAAAAGACAAGTGAAAAGATTATGATCGATTAAAATGTAAAACAAGTGTAGTTAGGTTTCGACTTCCCCCAATCTCCTCAATATGTTATGAATTAAACAGTCAAGAATCTGTTTCTTAATATATTGTCAATCAATTCTTTCTAAGTTAATTAGGGCTCAATTCCTTGTTACCTTAAATCTATGTAATCTTGAAAGAACTCTAGTTCCCCGATTATTCCCCACGAAAACATGCATTAAGATCAAGAATCCTAAGATTGCATAATTACCCTATGTTTATCCCTAGATCACAAGGATTATGATAAATTATCAAATCAGGGTTCATGCACCAACATCGCTACTTTCATACAATTCCCCAAAATCATTCTTTGAGGAACAAACTCATAGAAAGCAATAAAGACAGATAATTTATTCAATTATAAAAAGAACAGAATTCGAAGACAATTTAATTCATAAACATAAAGATTCAATTGGGTTCCATCTACCCCTAACTACATAAAAGACTAGCCTAGCATACTGAATTGAAAAACAATAATAAAGAAAAGAGAACCCCAAGCCTCCATTGGTGTGATGTTGACTTGGTTCCTCAGTGTTCCAGCGCTCCGCAATAGGATTCCCCCTTCAGTCTTGGTGTAATGCTCTGGACTTGTGAATTGGTGTTTTGGTCTGACCCCAAGCTCCTTATTTATAGCCATTGGAGTTGTATCCTTCATTGCATCTCTCACCAAATTCGTATCAGATTTGTAGTTGATTCTACAATTGTTTCCTTTTTGCATTTAAGATCTTGTAGATTGGTGACAGATTTTGAGCTTTGAATCTTTGTTGTGATATCTATTCTCAATCAAGATTGATTTGTTTCCACTTTGTATTTTTGTAAAAATTTGATGCACATCTTGATAAAGATATAAAATCTCTTTTGGATTTAGATTTGGTCGTGGATGGACGTTTTAGCGTGCTTTTAGAGCGCCAAAACATCCTCCCAGTGTATTGATGTCTGCCTCTGGGAGTTCTGGCGTGCTGATGAGCGCCAAAACGTCCCCTTCGAAGGATGTATTGTTGCTTCCTGAGCGTTTTGGCGTGCTGTATGACCGCCAAAACGCTATGGTCCAAGGGGTTATTGTGTTTTTCTTCATTTTGCGCTTTTAAATGTGTTTCCTGGACGCCAAAACGTCCTCCTTCAGCTGGTACACACTTGAAATCTTGCTTTCTTGAGGCTTCAACTCAACTTGATGTCTTCTTTTGGTTCCAAAAGGCCATAATATGTGTCAAAAATCCCTTGAAATAAGAATTATGACGACATGTTAGCAAGATATTCACTTAGTGTGACTTTTCGATATAAAACCCTAATTACCATGCAATTCATGATATATTTTAAACATAATTAAGCCTAAAACCATGGTAAACCAAGGGTTTATCAACTGTGAGTATTGCAAAGGAGAGGATGAAACCAACGAATGCCCAACACTTGTAGGAGTTGATTCCTTTCAAGTTAATGGAGTCTGGTATGATCTAAGACCACAGCAGAACTTCCAGAGAACCAGAACAATGCTCCAGGAAACAACTTCCAAAGGAGATTTCAAGCGGAAGGTTTAGATTACAAATCCGACCAATATTTACAACCTCCTCCAATTTCACAAACTCCAACATCTGAGCTAGAGAAAGCACTGATACAGTTGACAAAGACAACTGAAGCGTTCATGAACGAGATCAGGACTCCTCATAAAAATCAAGATGCTTCAATCAGAAATCTGGAAACTCAAATTGGGCAGTTGCCGAGACAATTAGCTGAGAGAAGTCCTGAAACATTCCCCAGTGACACTATAATCAACCCAAGGGAGCACTGCAATGTCATCACTACTAAAAGCGAGGATCTAGAAAAAGTGGAAGCTCCTACAAGCAAGGATGAGCACGCTCAAGAAGGGAAGGAAGAAGCAAAAGAGCAACCTCATGTAGTTCAGAAGAAGCAATGGGATTTCTCACGTTTTGAGAAACCTCCATATCCCATGGGGAGCAAGCAACATGAGCAAAGGAAGAAAATGTCTAAATTTTTAGATATTTTTAAGAAATTATAAATTGACATTCCTTTTGCAGAAGCTCTGAAGAAAAATCCTTCATATGCAATGTTCCTGAAGGAGACATTGTCTAAAATGCGGAAACTCACTGAGGATGAACTTGTTACACTAACAGAGGAGTGCAGTGCAATCCTACAGAAAAACTTGCCTCCAAAGTTGAAGGATCCAGGAAGCTTCAGTATTCCATGCACCATCGGTAAGATGACCATAGAGAAAGTCTTATGCGATCTTGGTGCCAGCATAAATGTGATGCCCCTCACCCTGATGAAGAAGCTGGGAATTGATGAAGTCAAGCCAACGAGGATGAATGTTCAACTGGCCGACCGCTCAACAAAGCAAGCACATGGTATTGTGAAAGATGTGCTCGTCAAGGTAAACAAATTTCTAATTCATGTTGATTTTGTTATTCTTGACATTGATGAAGATGCCAATGTGCCTATGATCTTCGGGAGGCCATTCTTAGCAACATCAGGAGCGCTAATCGATGTACCTAAGGGTGAGTTAATAATACTCGTGGATGGAGAGCAAGCAATATTCAAGGTACTTACAAGTGAAGCTCCATTTCCTGCATCTCAACCTAAAGATCAAGTTAACTAGATTGCGGAGAAGAAGGTTGAGGAAGGGAACAAGAAGGAAGTCCATCATCAGCATGAAGAAAGCAAGCCAATGGTTAAAATGGAAAAGCCCAAGAGCAAGGAAAAACTTGTAAAAACTAAGTTTAAAGTTCTTGAGAAACCTCCTCCTCACCCACATGTATATGATCATGGAAGGACACAATACTAGACCAAGAAGATTGGGTCATCAATGGTAGCATGCTTCCAACCACCGTAATCATAGGGGGTACGTCAGGCTCGTGACGTTAAACAAGCGCTAATTGGGAGGACTATTTTATTATTTGATTAGGTTAGTTAATTTTAACAAAGTCAAGTAATTGGTGAATTAGTGACCATAGGAAAAGGTTTAAATTTGGGAATTGGCGCTAGTAGCGCCAGCAAATGAAAAAGAGACAGAAGCTCTGCACTCACAGCATGGAGTTGGCGCTATCAACGCCAGAAATTACGGATTACCCGCGCTAACAATGTGATATCAGCGCTTCCAGTGCCATTATTTCCAAAAATTTCCAGTGAGCTCCGCGCTCACAGCGTGAACTCCACGCTGTCAGCGCCAGTGTCCTCACCATTTACCTTGACTTTAGTATTTTTCTTTATTTTGTTATTTTGAGATTATGGTTTGATTATGTCTCCTTTTACATATTGAGTCTTATGATTATTTCGTTTGACGTTTAACAAGTGTGTGTGTTCCACCTGCGCAGAAGTAGCTTCTCTCACTAGTTTACTTTATTGCTGAGGACAGCAATATTCTAAATCTGAGAATTGGGCGCATACCATATGCGATAACTGCCAAATGCGGAATTGCACAACAGAGGCGTCTAACAAAAAAAAATTCTATAAAAGGGAAGATACTTTAACCTTTCTTTTTATTAATTTTTGATATTTTTAATTCAAGTTTTTTTAATCAATTTTTCAATTTTTCTTAGAAAAATTAAAAAAAACAAAAATAGTGAATGCCTAAACAAGCGTTCCTAGATTTTACAAAGCCTACTCAGTAAGTAATTAGATTGAATTATAAGAAGCATGATATATGTGGAGCATTTAATTGTTTTTATAATCTGAGAATGATGATTGCTCGTGTGTATAACTGTTTTGGTGAAAATTCTTAGATAATGCTTGATGTGATATTTTGAAATTAGATTCTAGTTTGAATTATAACTGTGAGGATTTGAGCCTAAACAGAAATATTTTTCAGAGAGGCCTCACTGTAGTAGTTTTCTAGAACTTGAACTGTTTCTCTGGCTTGCATGCATTGCTAATATGATAAAGGCATGTTTATTCTTGTTAACTTAGAGCCAAATAGCCTACCTAGAAGAAATTTTCCATTGTTAAGCCCTTTTGAGCCTTAGACCAATTTATTCAAAAACTTTATGAAAGTTACTTAACCATTTCTCCATTGACACACCTTGAAAGAGATTGAAATGCTGATCAAAGGAAAAAGTCAAGGTACTTCTCAAAAGAAAAGTTAAGTAAGTTGAAAAAGGAAACAGAAGAATGGTCTGCAAAATACTGCAAAAATGCAGCTCAAAAGAGAAAAGAGAGAAAACATCTGCAAACAAGGAAAGAAAAGAAAAAAGTAGTGAAAAAGGGAAAAGAATCCCAAATTGATGACAAGTGGCAGAATTAAAAGACTGAGAAGAAAGTATTGTCAAAAATCTCAGTATTTCAGTCTCTCAAATTAATCAGCCTATATCCAAAAGATTCTTACCCCCAAGCCAGGCCAAGTT